ACCAATCCTTGGAGCAAGCTTTTCAATCCAAATTGGATTTGAAGGAGAAAGAAGACAAACAAAAAGGAGAATCTCAAAAGTCCCAAAACAGAAAAAAGTAAAGGAGAATCTCATTGGAGGAAGAATTACAACAAAGGCAACTACAACAACAATCAGCAAGGATGTAGCCATCAAAACAACCAGAATGGTAACCTTGTCCCTGAATGTCGTGTTTGTAAGAAGACTGGGCACAAAAGTGCAGATTGTCGGTATAGGTGTACCCGATGCAGAATACCTAACCATTCTCAAAGAGATTGCAGATATCAGAAAAATAATGAAGCCAATTTCATAGAAAATAATGACTCTTCAGAGCAACTATTTTATACATGTCTCAGCACTCGTCAAGAACCACAAGATATATGGTACGTGGATAGCGGATGCAATAACCACATGACGGGAAACAGACAATGTTTTGTCAAATTTGAAGAAAATATGAATTCACAAGTCAAGCTCGAAGATGGAAAGCTTCACAACGTGGAAGGCAAGGGTATTATCTTTGTTCAAACTCGAGAAGGTACACCAAAACTAATCTATGATGTGCTATATGTTCCTAACTTGGCACAAAATTTATTAAGTGTAGGACAACTCCTACAAAAAGGCTTCTCTGTTAAATTTGATGATGATCACTGTGTTATTTCTGATAAGAAGAATAACACTATAGTGGCTAAGATAAAAATGATGGCAAACAAAGTCTTTCCGTTGATCATGACATCAAAAGAAAACTATGTTTTGAAAGCTGAAAATGTAGAAGAATCACTATTGTGGCATATGAGATACGGACATCTAAATCAAAGAAGTATACAGCTCTTACATCATAAAGATATGGTGGTTGGCCTTCCTTCTGTTCAGTCTAAGAAAGAAATATGTGAAGGTTGTATTTTTGGAAAATTTCATCGCTTACCATTTTCACAATCAACATGGAAAGCAAGAGCCCCTCTTGAATTGGTACATGCAGATATATGCGGGCCGACTCGAACAGCATCTTTTAATGGCAAGAAATACTTTCATCTCTTTGATGATGACTATAGCATTCTCTTTTTTCAAGCAATTTAAAGCCTATGGAGAGAAGCAAAGTGGATACAATCTCAAGACATTGAGAACTGATCGTGGTGGAGAGTTCACATAAAATGAATTTTCAGAATTTTGCAAAAGCAATGGAATAAAAAGAGAATTGACGGCAAGCTACATTCCACAACAAAACGGTGTTGCAGAACGAAGAAATCAAACCATTGTGGAAATGGCAAGGAGCATGTTAAAAGCGAAAGGTCTGCCAAATGTGTTTTGGGCTAAAGCAATTCATACCTCAGTGTTTATTCTCAATAGGTCACCTACCAAGTCTGTCAAGGATATGACTCCTTTTGAAGCATGGCATGGGTTTAAGCCAAAGGTTGATTTCTTTAAAATCTTTGGTTGCATAGCCTATGCACATGTTCCTTCTCAAAAGAGAGAAAAGTTTGATGAAAAGGGTGAAAAATATATTTTTGTGGGTTATAGTGACAAGTCCGAGGCATATAGATTGATTGATCCAAGAACTAATAAGTTGGTAATTTCTAGAGATGTTATTTTTTATGAATTCAAGGTATGGAGATGGGAAAACAAACAAGGTGAAATACAGAGTATTTTGCTGGAACCAGAAACATCAAATTTAGAAGAATCTCTGCTGCCCCGAAGTCCAATTTCAAGGGCAAGAAGTCCAATTCCAAGTGCAAGAACATCTGATCCTAGTTCACCAGATTCCACTCCTAGACTAAACGCAAGAATGCATTCATTGGCAGACATATATGAGTCGTGCGATCTTGCTTTGAGTGCTTTGGAGCCTCAAAAATTTGAGGAAGCAGTGAAAGAAAAAATTTGACAAGACGCAATGGAAGAAGAAATTAGAGTTATCAAGAAAAACTCTATGTGGGAGCTTGTTGATTGGCCTAAATCAAAGGACATCATTGGACTTAAATGGATCTACAAGACAAAATACAATGAAGATGGGTCAATCCAAAAGCATAAGGCTCGGTTGGTTGCCAAAGGCTACTCTCAACAACCTAGAGTAGATTTCAATGAAACGTTTGCTCTGGTTGTACAAATGGAAACTATACAAACTGTGTTGGCTTTGGCAGCACAATTGAAAACTCATGTTTTTCGATTGGATGTCAAGTCCGCTTTTTTGAATGGAGAACTTGAAGAAGAAGTTTACGTGGAGCAGCCGCAAGGATATATTGAAAAGGGAAATGAAGACAAAGTTTGTCGACTTCGGAAAGCACTATAAGGCTTAAAGCAAGCACCAAGAGCCTGGAATAGCAAAATTGATCAATATTTCCATCAAAGTGGATTTGTAAGAAGTCCAAGTGAGCCATCACTCTATCTCAAGAAAGAAGGTACACATGATTTTCTTATTGTGTGTCTTTATGTTGATTACTTGATTTATACAAGTACCAAACCAAGGATGGTAGAAGCATTCAAGAAGGACATGATGAAAGAATATGAGATGACTGATTTGGGTTCTATGAAGTATTTTCTAGGAATTCAAGTCCAACAATCGGAAAAAGGGATTTTTATGTATCAAGAAAAGTATGCAGAAAATCTCTTGAAAAGGTTCAATATGTTGAACTGCAAGCCAATGGATACTCCAATGGCAATTAATTTAAAGCTTTCAAGTAATGATGGAGCACCAAGAGCTGATGCTTCTATGTATAGAAGTATTGTTGGCTCACTTATTTATTTATCTAATACAAGGCCAGACATAGTTCATGCAGTTAGTGTTGTATCTCGATTCATGAATGATCCAAGTAATCATCATTTTGTTGCTGTTAAAAGAATACTAAGATATGTGCAAGGAACCAAAGGATATGGCGTCAAATATACACAAGAGAAAGAAAGCATTTTAGTTGGGTTCACAGGCAGTGATTGGGCTGGTGCAATTAATGATAGAAGAAGCACATATGGGCATGTGTTTTTCTTGGGAAGAAAAGTTATATCATGGTCATCGAAGAAGCAAAGTACAGTGGCATTATCAACAGCCGAAGCAGAATATATTTCAACCACAAGTGCAGCATGTGAAGCAGTCTGGATTAGAAGAATATTAGCAGATCTTCATCAAGAACAAAACACTCCAACAAATTTGTACTGTGATAACATGTCCACAATTGCCATGACAAAGAACCCAGTCTTTCATAGCAGATCAAAGCACATAGAACTTCATCATCATTTTATCATAAAATTGGTTGAAGATGGAGACACTGAATTGAAATTCTGTGGTACTGATGAGCAGATTGCAGATGTTTTTACAAAAGCACTTCCAAGATAGAAGTTCTACTATTTCAAAGAAAGCCTAAATGTCGCAGGACAAATGCATTAAGAGGGAGTGTTAAACATAATGCATTTGTATCAGTTGTTAAAGTAGAGTTGTGTCCCTTGATGAAAAGTTATGTTTAGGAAGAGTTGTATCTCTTTAGAAGTCAAGAGTTGTGTCTGCAACTCTTGGAACTAATCCAAGAGTTATGTTTGTTATGAAAATATCTGAATGTTATTATAAATAGCCAATAAGATGGCCTAGTGTCGTAATCAATTTTAGGAAATCAATAAAGCTTCAATTTTTCTGTTTAAAACTCTCTTTCATATTCTCTCATATCCATCTTTCTCCAACACTGGGGTTCTGGGTTCATGGGGACTGGGGTGGAGGGTGGTTGTTAGATGGGTTTGGGGGTTGGAGCTTGAGGGTGGTGGCCATGGGGGAATGGAGAGAATGAGAGAGAGACAGAGAGAGACAGAGACAGAGAGAAGGAACACAATCTTCAAAACCTTCCCTTGTGGAACACAATTGGCTTTATTTCGACACTGGTACTGCACGTGGGAGTTTCAGAGCCTTTATATTACTGGATGCATAGACGTTTCCATGGCAACTACTTTTTTGAAAACTACCATTCACTTCACCATTCCTCTCCAATACCAAGATCATTAATATGAGCACCGACTTATAAATTCTTTTTTTTTTTCTCCCCTCTCATTAGTTATTTTGACTGATTAATTTATGATTTCCCCACTCCTATTTTATCCACTTACACTTCTTTTTTAGTTATAAAAAAGGAGTGTAAGTGGATAAAATATGAGAAAAAGGAGTGGGGAAATCACCACTCTTTATTAATTATTGTTATTAATATTTTTGTTCAGCTGGAAGTGAACACTTCTGGAGCATCTGGTTTTAAGTGCAATTGTTGGAATTCTAGTTCTTGGTACCACTCTGATGGGTTGTGGAGAGAGAGAGAGAGAGAGAGAGAGAGAGAGAGAGAGAGAGAGAGTTTTTATTTCATTTTTTTGTATTTATTTATTTTTAACATACGAAATGACCAATTTGCCCTCATATTTAACAGTAACATTGACAGAATGTAACGATATAACCAATGAAGCGATTAATATATAGTTAATGGACTATTTGAATGAATAATTTAATTGAAGGACCAAAATATAAATCGAGTACAAACTTAAGGACCATTTGAGTAATTTACCCATATCCCTTATATTTGTGAGGCCTGGGGAATAATATTTGTTTGTGTGTCTATAACAAAGAAAAGGCCTTGTACATACAACAAAAATTATGTGTGTAAATATTGATGCGTATGAAAAAAAGTATTTAATTTTTTTTAGTACGAATCTAAACATTTTATACAAGTTTAGAAAATGGCAACTTGGTCAAAACCGGGCAATAATCTTTAAAGCAAGAGCCCAATTGTTATCACTTTCTTTTTACTTATGTGACAGATGCAACAGCCTGCACATGAAAAATGCATTTTCCTGCATATCTGAAACTTTCAAGTCTCAATATATGGAACATGAAATTCTTACATCAACATGTATATATATATATGAGCTTGTCCCTTAGCAACACATATAGATCATACAAATACTTTGAAGTTCTCTACATCAAAGTCTATTATAAGGCCAAACATGATGCATCCAATCACAAAGATCATAGCCGTTGTGATCATCTCAATGGTTTCTGGGGCCGCCACGGGTGCTGATCCTCAATCTCCCTACTGCGACATCATCCTCGACCACTTGAACCCTTGCCTTCCCTATATACTTCAAGGTGAGGTGAAGCCAGCCAAGGTTTGCTGTGATGGTGTCCTGGGCCTCACACAGTATACAAACGCCAAGGGAGGCCAACAAAATATATGCGACTGCGTCAAGGCTGCAGCAATTTTGATGGGGGCACCTGTTGATAATTTCTCTAAGATTTCTTCTCTTCCCAAAACTTGTGGCCTATCGGTCACACTTCCACCCATCTCTAGCGGCACTGATTGTTCCCAGTAATTAACCATCTCTGCTCTAAATTCTATCTCTAATTTCATATCATGATGCAAATGTTTTATAGGAAAAGAACTAATTTCTGATTTTGGTTTCTTGAATATATTACAGGGTTAAGTGAAGATTTGATGGAAGGGGTATTGCTTCAACAGACAACGGAATAAATGAATAATTTGTCTAATGAATAATTTGTGCAATGGCTGCCTATAATGAATACATAGCTTATGTGATCATATGATCATATGTCTTTTTCTTTGAATTAATCACATTCTTATCTTCTTCTTCTTCCTTCCTCACGTAGCTACCACATCGTGGTGTCCCACATGCACTTCGATTCCTTCTCCGCCCAAAAAAAACACACCAACTCTCACGTTGGGGATAAATATATAAACCTATTTAATTAGCTCTTTTATCTCAGATATAAATTTATATATATTTTTTACACATTTTTTATGAGCACGAGTGGTGTGACAGCAAAATCCCAGCCACACGAAAACCTAATTTCCCACTATATTGTGGAGCATAAGATTCGCATGAATCATGATGAAATTAACCGCAACAATGAATTACACCATACATCTATATATATAAACTTCCTCCATATCAACACAGCCTACAAAATTATAAGCCAACAGAAGTGAGGCCAAATATAACTCGTCTAACCAAGATCACTATCGTGATCATGTCACTGGTTTCTGGGTCAGCATGGGTGATCTACCTTCCTGCGAAACCATCCTCGAAACGTTGAGCCCTTGCGCCAAGCAACAAAATAATAACGTGAAGCCACCGCAGACTTGCTGTGACGCTATACAGAGCCTCAGCCGGTATTCAAACGACAAGGAAGATCGACACGAAATATGCGACTGTATCAAGGCTGTAGCAATTTTGGCGGGGCTGCCTATTAATTATTTTTCTTGCATTTCTTTTCTTCCTCAAGCCTGTGGCCTATCCGTGAAACTTCCACCCATCTCTACCGACATCGATTGTTCCCAGGAAGTCTTTTGGCTAACCATAATCTATCTTTTTTGGCGCATTGATATGTTAACACAAAACATTTTATATTAATTCCTTTAGTAGGACTTGGTGCATGGAGTGTACATGATGACGGAGTTTGATAATGTCATTGGATTTGTATATAATATGTTCTGGGGCAGATCGAGAATTTGTTTTTATGTATTACTATGATCACTATGTGGCATTTAGTTAATGCATAGAAAAAGATGTGGTTGGCGTATTGGGTTTATTCCCACAAGCATAATAGGCCGGCCATCACCGAAAAACTTTTGGAGAGCTAGAACTTTATTTCACCATGCCTGCCCTAAAAGAATATATCTTGATCTCCTTCCTCCTGTTCTTCTTCTTCATTCCTCACCTAGCCGCAACAAGCTCCGCCACCACCTGTGGTGAATCGACATGCACTTCCACTAGCCCTCAGATTCGATTCCCTTTCTGGCTAAAAAACCTCCAACCCTCAACCTGCGGGTATGAAGGGTTTGGTCTCACATGCAACCCTGGACACCGATGGCAAAGCATTCTCATCACTGTCCCATCTTCCTCGAGGCACTTTGCCATCCAAGAAATCGACTACTTGAACCAAAACGTATGGATCTCCGACCCCAACAACTGCTTCCCAAGGCGGTTCATGGACAATGACTTCAGTTTTGATGGTTCACCCTTCTCATACGTGCATGCCCTCGAAAGATTCACGTTCCTCAATTGCTCTTACCAAGCAGAAGTATCGTATCCACCCATTTCTTGCCTTAGCAATGAGCACTACATGGTCACTGGTGTGCCATCGGATCTGATTAATTCATCAACGCCGTGGTCTTCTTGCTCTGTGATTTCCGAAGCTTGGGTTCCACTCTCAGAACCATTTGAATCATTTGAATGGGACTATCTTAATGGTTTTGAGTTGGAATGGTATGTGCCCAATTGCCGTTTTTGTGAAGCCATACCTGGTAAAGTTTGTGGATTCGACAACAATACAAGTTCCAAGCTTGGGTGCTCTAATGCTATTAATTCAACTAACGGTACGCTTATGAGTAATATTGTCACATATACATCTAACGTAATTGATTATGTTGTCATCATACTTGACCATAATAATGTTACAATTGCAAGGGGCTTGTAGTGGTTAAGAATATTTACCCATGCATCCGAGGTCTTAGGCTCGATTCTCCCCCTCCCCCAATATCGCTTGTATAAAAAAAAAAGTATTAATGTTGCAATTAATTTCAACATTTTTTCAGGTCTCTCAAAAACTGTGATGTACGGTAAGATATGCATAGGAATTACAGGACTATTTTTTCTCGTCATTGTGATCATGTTAAGGCTGAGGGCTTGCGGTCGGGTCAATCGACCCATAATAGAATTATCAGCCATACCTCATCCACAACCTTCTGCAGTCATAATGGGGCTTGATGATCCAACCATTGATTCATATCCTAAGACTCAACTTGGAGAGAGCTTGGAATTGCCCAAGCCTAATGACAACACTTGCTCAATATGTTTGGGAAACTACCAGCCCCGCGAAACATTGAGAACCATACCAGAATGCAACCATTATTTTCATGCTAATTGTATAGATGAGTGGCTTAGAAGAAATGCGACGTGCCCGATTTGTCGAAAATCATCCGAGGGTAATAAAGGGATTGAGGCGTGACTGTTTTGTATTACATTCTTTACATAAACTTCAATATGAAATAGAGGAGATCGTGTCAAAGAAAGAAAATGACAAAACAAGGAATGAAAGAGATCTATGTACTTCTAGGGGAAAAAAAATTGAGAGAAGAAGGAAAATAAGCTAGATGAATATATATATATATATATACTTTCCTTTTTCTTTTTTCTTAGTGTACTACTTCTTAGCATAGTATTGCTTTCTCAATGTCTAACTCTGAAGATGTGGAACTATATATTGCTAAGTGTTTTATATTGGTATTTGAAATTTAAGATATTATAGAAGCCAACACTTTTCGTAAGAGAGCTGATTTTTCCACTCTTTTTTTGTTCACTTACACTTTCTTGTATGTTATAGTAAAAAGTATTAGAAAAAACAAAAGGGAGTGTAAATAGACAAAAGAAAAGTGAAAAAATCATCACCCTTTCCGCAAATGTTAAAAGGACTTGAATTGTAAAGTATTTTTTCACTTTCTTTGGATGAGCAGCGGAGCAATTAATTCACTAAAACAGAAAAGCGTTTTTCTATTCATTTGCAACACGCGTCTAAATTGACCCAACATTGAGAGAGAGAGAGAGAGAGAGAGAGAGAGAGTGGTGGCGGCTGGTAAAGGAATGACACGCCTCATCATAGAAGTGTTGGTTCAACGGAAACAAATTTGATTCGTTTTTGGTAATTTCCTTGAAGCTAATCTACGAAGTTAATATATTTAAGTGCATGATATATTAACCCAAAACATGTTTTGATTTGTATAAAATCAATATATGTTGTCGTGCATTGCTATGACTCCTATGTGTGCATTTGGATGGATTTCAATGAACACATAGAAAGTGATGTTGATTATATTTGGCGTATTGTGTTATTCCCAATGGCATAATAGGCCGGTCATGCGCTTATTACCCAAAAAATATTGGTCTAGTTTTCATTTCACCATGTCTACCTTACAATTCTTGATCACCTTCCTCTTGCTCTTCTTCTTCATTCATCATAACGGCGCAAGCGCCCCCGCCCCCATCTGTAGAGAATCTTCGTGTTCTTCCGATAACCCACCATATACTCGATTCCCTTTCCGGCTACAAAACCTTCAACCCTCTATTTGTGGGTACTCAGAAAGCTTTGATCTCTCATGCAACAACCAAAATGAAGCCATTCTCACTCTCCCATCTTCCGGACACTTCATAGTCAGAACCATAGATTACACTAGCCAAAACGTATGGATCACTGACCTCAATAGCTGCTTCCCTAGGTTGTTCCTCGACCATGGCTTGAGCCTAAAAGGTTCACCTTTCTCATATGCCAATGATCTTGTAAACTTCACGCTCCTCAATTGCTCCTCTTCCGCAGAAACACCATATCCACCCATCTCTTGCCTTAGCAATAATGAGCAGTACGTGATCACTGCTGTGCCGTCGGATTCTACGGTACCACCTTCGTGTTCTGTGTTTTCAACAGCTTCGGTTCCCCTGAGAGATCCACTCGATTGGAGCATTATTGATCTTTATGGTGTAGAGTTGGCATGGGATGATCCCGATTGTCGTTTTTGTGGAAGATTGGGAAAATTTTGTGGGTTTGAGAATGCTAAAAGGTCCAAGCTTATATGCTTTGATATTTATAAGTATTATTCTTCAGATAACGGTATGTTCATAGAACAATGTTTATGTTACATCAACTTACATGTATCATCAACCTAGGGCCTCTGCCTTTGTCATTAAAAAAAATCTTTGTATTTGGTTTAATATTTTTCCAAATGCAACTGTTGTTTGATCAAAGGAATTTAAGAATTTTTCGGGACTCTTCTTTGTAATTTTCTTTTGTACTTCAAAAAAAAATACCTTACATATATCATATAATATACAGTACTACTTCTTAGCATAGTATTGCTTTCTCAATGTCTAACTCTGAAGATGTGGAACTATATATTGCTAAGTGTTTTATATTGGTATTTGAAATTTAAGATATTATAGAAGCCAACACTTTTCGTAAGAGAGCTGATTTTTCCACTCTTTTTTTGTTCACTTACACTTTCTTGTATGTTATAGTAAAAAGTATTAGAAAAAACAAAAGGGAGTGTAAATAGACAAAAGAAAAGTGAAAAAATCATCACCCTTTCCGCAAATGTTAAAAGGACTTGAATTGTAAAGTATTTTTTCACTTTCTTTGGATGAGCAGCGGAGCAATTAATTCACTAAAACAGAAAAGCGTTTTTCTATTCATTTGCAACACGCGTCTAAATTGACCCAACATTGAGAGAGAGAGAGAGAGAGAGAGAGAGAGAGTGGTGGCGGCTGGTAAAGGAATGACACGCCTCATCATAGAAGTGTTGGTTCAACGGAAACAAATTTGATTCGTTTTTGGTAATTTCCTTGAAGCTAATCTACGAAGTTAATATATTTAAGTGCATGATATATTAACCCAAAACATGTTTTGATTTGTATAAAATCAATATATGTTGTCGTGCATTGCTATGACTCCTATGTGTGCATTTGGATGGATTTCAATGAACACATAGAAAGTGATGTTGATTATATTTGGCGTATTGTGTTATTCCCAATGGCATAATAGGCCGGTCATGCGCTTATTACCCAAAAAATATTGGTCTAGTTTTCATTTCACCATGTCTACCTTACAATTCTTGATCACCTTCCTCTTGCTCTTCTTCTTCATTCATCATAACGGCGCAAGCGCCCCCGCCCCCATCTGTAGAGAATCTTCGTGTTCTTC